CCCATGGAACAAACATATCGAGGTAGTTGTAACCAAGGCTACAAGGGCTCTAATGGTGTGCTGAAGCCTTGCAGGGAATGCAAACCAGGAGTAATGAGATGAATGTATACCATGGCAGTAACACCAACCCTACTATATGGATCGATAATCTAGAGCAAAGAAGTTGAAAAACAGAATATAAAGGCAGCTCTCAACAAATTGCAACGCCTGGTGTGCACATACATCACGGGCGCAATGAGAACCTGTCCTACAGCAGCATTCGAGACAATTGTAGGTCTCGCACCTCTTCACATCGTGGTAGAGGGGGCCGTTAAAAGAGCAATGACTAGAATCACGAGAGTGGAGGCTAGCGAGGGAGGTTAGCTTGGAAGGGGAGAATAAGCATCTCTGAGCAAGGTTATTCTACTCCTCGAGCTCCCTAAACATATAATTTCGAGAAACACTTCACAGCAGTCATAAGAATCAGGAAAAAACGGGAAGAAAACACCGCAACCATTCTCACAATGCAGCAGAAAGCTGTAAAATGGTAAACTGATGGGTCAAGAAATGAACAAGGGACGAGAGTCGAAATACTTGGGCCTGGAATCAAGTTCTCCGACGCAATGGAAATACACCCAGACATATTTCAGACGGAAATAAACGCCTATAGAGTGTAGATGTGCTGAGTTCAATCTTGACAGAAACTACAAAAAGAAAGAGATTGTCATATCTTCAGACAGTGAAGCAGCCATCGAGGCGTTGAGCTCACATACAATCAGCTCCAAAATGGCCTGGACAAGTTAAATAAACTGGGCAAAAATAACAAACTATCCCTTTAGTGGATACCGGGACACGCAGGAATCGCAGGTAATGAGAAGGCGGACAATTGCCGAAATTGGGAGCACAAACTCCGCTTTCAGGACCAAAGCCTTTTTGTGGCATAGGGATGCGCACCTATAAGGAAGCGTTCAGAAAGGAATAACAGACCAAATGGATCAGCCTCTGGGAACAGCTTCCAGGGTTAAGGCAATCAGAAATGTTTCTTGGGCCCCCTCACCAAGGGAGATCAAAAGACCTTATATTACTGAGTAGAAACAACCTCCGCATTCTCACTGGATTCCTTACAGGCGACTGCCAGTTAAGAGGGCACCTTGATAGTATTAAAATTAGAAACGAAGACAGGTCCTTCAGAACACCTGCTCACGGAGTACGAGGCGATCGTGAATAAACGAATTGCCTGCTTCGGATGCTGCATCGTTGGACGGGAAGAAATTCCATCCATAGAACCATCCAGCTTGCTTATGTTCATAAAATCTTTAAAGCTGGATGAGGTGCTTTGAGTGAGAATCATATCAACCGAAGCACCTTCTATGCAGGTCGCAGTGTAACAATACCCCTAATTGATTCATTCATTCATTCAACACAGCCGTGTCTAACGCCTGTAGTTATTTGGAAAGCCTCTTCTTGTCCATCGTTGCTTAGGACGGTTGTATTCAAATTATCATGTAGCAGGCGGAGTGTCTGGATGTACTTTTGCGAACACCCCAACCTTTGCCAATATCTGCAAGATAAGCATCTCTGTTGACCGAATCAAATGCTCTCACTAAATCTATGAAGGCGGTTTTGTTCTCTGGATTTCTCTTGCATTTGTCTTGCACTGAAAATTATGACAGCTGTACCTCGGTTGGGTCTAAAGCCACGCTGTGTTTCTGGAAGGTTCTCTTCGTTAGTTGGGATTAGACGATTTAACAATATCCTGGCAAGTATCTTTCTCAGCAATCCTTAGTTTACTTATTAGGATGTGGGTTTGGTTGGGCACTAAGTGTGGGGCCTCCTTGTTTGGAGAATTCAGCAGGAAATGTCGTTAGTACCAGTTGACTTATTGTACTGGGCTGAGGTGCAGGGTCATCCAACGCGAACTGATCAGGGGAAAATTTTTGACTTTTCCTGTATTCAACTACAAAAAAAAAGATTGTTTCACAAACTTTTGTCTTTTCAATGGAAAGCCCTATTTTGTTTTTCATATTTGTACTCGTCACATTTGCTTAAGTGAATACTGTTAGAAAGAATAATAATTCTTCAACCACCACATAAGTGCTCAAACTAATATCAATGTCATCGGTTGATAAAAAAGCCAGACATGAAGTAGTAGGCTCAATTATCAATTAGTGAGTTTTCTGGGTCAGTCCCAATCAACTAGGTTGCAACCATCTCAGCTCTGCTCAAAAACACATCAACCCAAAATCTCGTCAACCCAGGCGTCTGAACTAATGCTGGCCAATTTCTAAAAATGTTAAAAAGTCTTGACAAGTTTTTCATCATCCTCAGTATTCTATATATCAGTAAAATCGTGCGATAATAAACCATCCAGAATTATAAAATAAAGCATTGAGAATCATAAAATTCCAAAGAGAGTTGCATGTTTTTCTCGCCCATATCAGCTGTTTTCATGAAATTAAATTTAAAGTTATTCAAAATATTTCTATTGTCAATTATCTATTCCTCATTATTGTGTTATGTCAATGAATGGTGACTACCAGCAGTACCAGCACTGTTGCCGTATGATGAGTCATGAAACCTGTACGTGATACAATTATTATAGCACTAAAGTTTGAAGAATGCATAATACATTTTTGTTTATCGCCCAAGGCATCAGCTTTAAATCCAAATAATTCAAGTTCGACGAACGCAGTCTTATCTTTATTCATGCGTTGATTATAGGCTTTATTGTTGTTCCAATCACAAACAGTTATGAAATCATTCAAAATAGCTGAAAGCGAAAATATTGATTTGCAATACCCAATTATTCCTTGTTCAATTTGTACAAAAATTGGTTTATCTTTTTTTATTACCATATTTTTTAGATTTTTTTTTTGAAATCATATATGGGACGGGAGAGAAATGAATGAAATGAGAAGAATATTCCTAAGATAACTGGAAAAATACTTCGCAGTTCGCAATAAGGAAATCATATTTGGAAAATTTCCGATTGGTTGCTGCAAAAGAAGAGCCGTTGATGTAGAATTAGTGTTGTTCCTGCACACGTAAACTATCATTTGTCTACATTTACAGGTAAACAAATTGTCAATAATGTCGAATGTCAACAATGTAGATAACGCTCGATAGTTGATATTTTGAGGTTATGTTTTACAAAACAAAAACAAAGACATTTAATTTTAATAATATCGCTGTCCGGCAGGACCAAAAATAAGTTTGGTTTCCCATTAATAACAGCAGATGAGGAAATATAAGGCGTGTTGTAAGTGCAGAAAAGTAAATGTTTTTGTAATTCAAAATGAATTTTTTTTACATGTTTACATTGTTTATATAGAAAATCAATATGTAGACAATACAGTTGTTTACATGTAAACAATTATGTAAAATATCTCAAGTCGTTTACACGCACCATCACTGTGTGAAATATAGAAAAGGTATTGATCAAAACCATAAAGTACCTACTCCATGAAAAAATTAGACGATTCTTCAAATTATCCATATGAACACGAAAGAAAGAACCTACTGAAAATACGTTAACGTTGAATACTGCAAGTGAAAAATAAATAATGATGATTATGAACATGAACGGGTAGGTATCATCATGACAATGGTAGAAAAATAGAATATCACCTACAATCCATATTAGCCATTCGCTATTGAATGGCGTTACATGAGCGATCATGGCGATCTCTCCCTCCAGCGTTGACTTGGTCAGTTTTCATATTTTGAACCAACACGTCAAATATTCTTATATTGAAAACACTGGTTGTATTCACACTACACCGTCACGCTCGGGCCGTCAGGATTTCTCAAGGAGAATGTTCGACGTGTCGTTGACGGTACCGTGACGTGACAATGTCGGTACGTATAGTATGAATCGCGCCTTAGTCTTACTCATACATGCCCCCGACACACCAAAGATTAGCTTCACTATCCTTCAGCAACAGTACTTCATTTTCCTCCTCCCAGTCATTTCAGTTTCAATTCACAGTCTGCAATGTTGTCAGGTAAATCACAAAGCCTTTCTACCTTCGGAAGCTTCTAAAGAGTAGCTATTTTCTACAGAAAATTTGGAATGGAATGATAGCCAATTGCTTGATTATGTAGGAAATATCTATGCATCCATTGAATCAAAAACCTTCCATTATTGATCTTCTTGCATATAGTTATTTGTTGGAAACAGCTGGATGCATTATCATCGATCAGCGTAGAAACGGAATACTTTTGCGTCATGTACCTTCTTTTTTTTTTCTTGTTCCTAGTGAAGCTAATCGTTGGTGTGTTGGGGGCATGTAGGAGCAAGACTAAGGTACGATTCATACTATACGTACCGGCACCGTCACCTCACCGTACCGTCAACGACACGTCAAATATTTTCCTGGAGAAATCATGACGAGTCATAGTTGGAAAACCAAAGTAAAAATGCTCTTCTTCCAGGACTGTTGAGAGTCACCAGTAGGTATAAGGAAGGTCTTACTAAATAGTAAATAAGATTCAACGTGGGGAAGTGCACGTGAAGAAGCTACGAATTTTCATTACTTTTAGAAATCAAAAAAAAAGTAGGGTAAGCTGTAGCAAAAGTGTGTGTACCAAAAAAAAAAAAATAATGTTAATTAAATCGATTGCTAATTTCCAAGATAAAATTAAAAAAACAAATTTTTTCATGCTGTTCATAATTTTCTTCAATAATAGAAATTTTCTAATTTGAATAAGCTAACCGAATCGATTAAATTATACTAGGCCTACGAGATAATCACACTAACATCATTAATTCATTTCCATAATGCGTAAAATGAACAACTTGAAACCTAATCAATTTGAATTAATACTAGACGTACCACGACAAATAATATAATATGGTAAAATCACGCTAGCGCGTCACTCAAATCAGCAAATTCAGCGAGGGTCATCAATTGTCAGCCTGATTTGAAAACTAAATTGAGGGAGGAGCCTAAGAGCTTTTAGCTACGCCCAGTCAAAGCATGGTCCCTACTCTTGTAGGCCACTACATTTCAGTATACGTCGGCAGCTTTACGGAGCAACACCACAAAAAAAAAAAAAGAACCGGACTCACGGTAGTTTAGAGATTAGTGCCAAAAACGATTTTCAGTGATATTTAGTGACATTTAGTGCTCATATATGATTTCCACCATGGAAGACACCAGTAAAACTGACATTAAAACGAAAATTTCGTTCAGTGTTGAATCGCTTCTTTCGACAACAATTAAACCGTCATCGCCCATTAACGATAGACTGTTAGATGATTCTTCAAACTATTCAGAAAACGAAGAAAACAGATTGGATACGTCTAGTGAAAAAATCGATGACGACGAAGATGATGAAAATATTACTGTCGATGATGAAGATACGGACGGTGATGGTAGAGAAAGTTTAAGTCCGAATTCGCAACACACAGTGCTTATTCCACAGCCAGTACACCCTTCAATGCCAAGGATACTTCCTCCTGGACACAGTCAATGGCCATTTACGTGGGTGGGACCTAACGGACCTTTCAGATCGAATTCGCCACAAGGTAAAAACATGACAACTTTTCAACTACTTTAGCAGAAAAATAAATAATCTGCGAGCTTAAATTATGTTGTAAGATAATTTCTTTGAACAACATGCCAAAATTTCACTTGATTGTCGTTGATCTTAGAAAAATTACAGTTATTGTTATTTTTTTTAAAGCTTTTGCAGTTAAATATAACAGCTTTTGTTTTACATCACTTTTTAAGTATGAAACACCTATTTTTTTAGAAATGAGAAAATTAATTTCTGATTCTTTCAACTTATATTATTATACTTTGTAAAGCTTTTCCAATTCTAATACCATTTATTTTTAGTGTGAATTATTGCTCTTTGTTGATAAGCTTATTAATTTGGAGCACCTCATTCATTGACATTTTCAGAAAATATTAGGAGAGTTTCAGTTTATATAAAACAATATTCATTTGGAAAAATTCTGAGGACATTTATCTTATCTTAATATCCCTAAAACAAAAATTACACAAAAAGTAATTTTTATAAAAATTCTGACATCATAAGCCAAACGCGACGGCAAATATAAGTATTATTTTTTAAATTACCTGCAACTTAAGATCTTTTGTAGAATATTTATTAGATTTTAGACAGCGTGTAGTTTTTCTAAGCAATTTATTCAATTTCTTATGCACGAAAAAGTTCACTAAATGTTAGAGGATTTAAATTTCAGATAATTAATTTCATTAAAAAAACAAATTGAAAGGATTTCCGAGGTCTATTTTCATTATAATAACTGAAAACATATTTATTCAAACAACGACTATGGTTGACATATTCAACAGGAAAATGTAAAATTGACAGTTTTGCCAAATCTTATAGGAATTAAATAAAATAATACAATTGCCGTCGCTCCCAATAATTGTTTAATTGAAAAATCATGATCTTAAAAATAAACACCTATCATTCCCTAAAGCCCTTCACGATTTGTAGATCTTTGATGCACATGTATTTGCATTAGACTGACAAAAATTGAATCGCGCCGATAAATGTTTGATGGATCTCAAGCCTGATTTTATAATTTCTATCAGAAAACTCTTCACTCCTTGAAAAATCCATTATTGTTTCTCAACTTTATATTATTGGATAGTAAAATATCTCAAAATCAAATGTGTATAAGATCCATTTCAGTTATGTCGTCGGCTAGTTAATATATGCGGCATTACTTTTTTTAATAAGAAAATCAAAAAATTCTTTGGATATTGGGTTTCAGATCCAAGTGAAAATAAGTTTTGCATAAAGATGAATGTTTCAAACAACATTTTCTTGAGGCGATTGTGGCGATCTGGTAGTCTCTATGGGCTGTATATTTAATGGCATTTAATATACGATCTGTCAAATATTAACATTTAAGCGCTAACGATTTCAGGATACAAATAGGAGTGAAAAATTAAAATACAATTAAAAAATAATACATAAAAATATTACAAAAATACCTGCCAAAAATATCTAGAAAACTCGCTACAAATTATGTGTAGAAATATTTCACGGCATATACAGGCATAGGGCGAGGGTTTTTTTTCTGGTAATATTTGCTCGAAAACTTTTATTTTAAAAATGATATTGAACTGAAATCCTTAGGGTATATAGCTTTTGAGAAAATCAAAATCAAAATATATAATGGGTATAAAATAAATGTCAAAAATTAAAATAGGTACATAAGGTACAATTGAAATTATAGACATAATAATACAAAAAATAAAAATAAAAAATCAAAATACAAATAAAAAAATAATAAATAAAAATACCACGGGCTCGTGCTCTCCTTCATGTTTTTCATTGGGCGATGGTCATTCATATATTTTTTCCTGCTACATTTTTGGTATTTAACCGTTGCTTCTTTAGGTATACACGTTTTCTAAGAGTTTTATGTATTATTCTAGAGTTTTGGAATATTGCAAAAACTTATTTTAATCAATAAATGTCAGTTGTAGGACTTTGTTATTTTGAGTGGTTTCATATTCATTCCAGAGTACTAAATTGTTTTCAAAGATCGACTTGTTCAAATTTGTTATTCGTTTCATAAGGCGAATAAAAGATGCTTTGGTATTGTGTGTATAGTTTCTGACCTGTCTTTTATAGTGAAACGAATATTGCATTATTTCAATATTTGATAAATTGCTATTTCTTCAAGAAATGTATTACTAGTCTTGAAATCTGTCTTTTTGCTGATGATACTAGTTCCACTTGGAAAAACCCCAGATATTGTAGCTTTTAAATGACTTCGTGTACAATTATGTATGTAATATCATAATATGTCCTAATCTTAAAAAGCTTTGTCTACAAATTATGTATTAATATTTGACAATAAAGCATCATGTATCTTTAGTTTCCCCATTAGCTATTCTCACCATAAGTATTTTATAAATTCTGGTAGTGAGTATATCATCTTCTCCTGAAGCTCTAGCTTCACTTTGTCTTTTGTGTATGTATTTTACTTTCTACTACCTTTTGTTCTATTTCGGATATCTCTTCGTATATGCATTTGTTCGTTTTTTCATTAAAAAAAAAAATCGAAATGTCAAATTTGGACCTGCATCATAATCAAAAGTGTTTTGTTTTACAATTCTATTTCGTGTCTGTGTTTATGTCTGCTTACATTAAACCTATAGACATAATTTCAAATGTGAGTCTCTTTATAGCTCTTCTAAGAAACAATTTAATTTTATGTTCTCCCATGCGCTTATGCACTCTCTCAAGAAACAATAATCGGCCACAATCAGTTTCAGTTATTATGTCCGATCAGTATGTGGAACCACAAATAATTGCACTCCAATTACTTTAATTAATATGGTATACAGGAGCAATAAAAATCGTTCAAATTGTTGCTGCGATTAGATATTATGAAAAACGGCTCACTGTTTCTTAGAAAAGCGAGCCCGGTGGAGATACAAATAACTTTGTAAGTCGATTCAGATAAATAATGCATCGGCTATACTATAATAAATTGCTGTATAATTGTCTGATTATTTATATTTAATAACCTTTCGAAAAAAAAAAAAAAAACCGCTAATGGACGTCTTGGAATTTTATTATCGCTAATTATTATTATTATTATCGATGAGAGACGTATTTTTTTTTTTTTATTATAAATTATGTGTTTATTGGACTTTGCAAACTGCAAAATAGTTAATGTACCGGGTGAATCGGCCATAATACCAAATCCATGCATAACTAACCAAACAACAAAATTGTATTTAAATTTTGAGTCGCACATCTAAATAGTTTCCATTTTCTAGGCTACCTAATAAACAATTGCGACTTGAGCTTTGCAATTTTGACCTCGAATGATTATTTTCAAATTAGGCCCGCCCAACGCGATCTATATTTAAAATTCGACATTTCGAATATCAATAATTAATAACCTATTGGGGTCATTATGAATTATTAGGCACTTATTTATCCATTGTGCCTACTTAGTTTTTATTTCTACTTTTCTTTTGTGTTTTATATTGAGTTTATAATTTTGTTAGTAATGATGAATTATTATTCTTGTTTCAGCCAATATGCCAAACTTAAACAACGGACCTCCGATTGTAAGGTGCGCGTTGAGAAAACACAAGCCAAACAGAAAACCCAGAACGCCTTTCACGACGCAACAACTTTTGGCCCTAGAAAAGAAATTCAGAGACAAACAGTACCTTAGTATAGCGGAAAGGGCAGAATTTTCGAGTTCGTTAAGGCTTACAGAGACTCAGGTAAGAATTACAAATATACAAGTTTATCATTATTAAATATCAATAAATTGAACCAGTCAAACGACAGTTTATCTAAAATAGAGTGTTTTCGTGCCATTTGGTCTATTATTATCTTCAGGTCCCTTTAATCAAAATTCAGAACATCAGATATTACGAAAAACAAACAAAAGTCTAAATAAAAAAAATTTTACACGCTGAAAACAACCTCAAACACAAAAAAAAAAAATTCAAAAAAACTTACACAAGCTAAAATAGGTATTAATAATAATAATAAATCGAATATTGTACTACTAACGGACGAAAAAGAAGAACTACAAAAAATGCTTAAAGAACTGGATAATGAATCGACAAAAATTGGAACTATTTTAATAAAACAAAAATCATGTCAAACATATTATTTAAAACCAAAAAATAAAAATTAGACAGGACAAATAATTAAAACGAGAATGATAGCTTGGACTCTTTATACCCCAAAGATTAGTCCAAGAGTATGTCTTGATAAACGACTGTCAGAGGATAATTTCTTGAGAAAAATTATTATTGATTGATGAACTATCAATAGGTTAGCTGAAAACGTGACCTGATAATTTGAATATTTGCACACTTATGAAAAAGGACTTGAGTTCGAACGTTAAAATGAAAAGGTTCGTACTTGATCATCAAATATTCAACAACACCAGGGACCACCCAACAAAACAATTTCTAGATAACTTAACTGATATCGAAAACACTAGTTTATTAAGAAGTAATATATGAAATGCGTTTTGTTTTTATAGTTGTAAGCACCCTATGCTTAATTGAAAACATTCAACCGTGGGACTTTTCATGACTCATGATTCCGACAATATTAATTGGAAAATTTTACTTCAGGTCAACGATATTGTCCATAGGCGGATAAATCTATGCGTACAGTCACCTTTTTACAATTTTTCATCCCCCGCAAAAATATCAGATAGTGTTCAGTTGGATAGGATTCACAAAATAGGGTGCTTTTTGTCAATTCTACAATTTTCATCAGGGACCTACTAACTGACTCAAATTATTGATATCGATATTCAGGTCAACTTTACGTTAGTGATTCCCACGAGAGTCTCATTTTCGAGAGTCTCGCATGGTCTCGTCTCGTTTTTGAGACAAGACTCGAGACGAGACTCGGACTGTCTCGGACAAGACGAGACGAGACTTTTATTGGTCTCGTCTCGAGTCTCGTGCGAGAGTCTCGTGTCTCGTGCAAAAGTCTCGCAGGTAAATATTTCTGCATGCAGACAAAGAACACATAGGTATAATGTAAATATATGCAGTAGCCGGACTTTCGCGAAACCGCCTACCCCAGTTCATTGCCTACCCCTCCCATCAGAAATCTGTTGGCAGTGGCGTATATAACGGTGGGAGAATATTTTTATTTTATGTTTTCACATGACGCAATATTTTATAATTAGGTGCCTTACAATTACCGCCATCCTGGGGGGGTTTATTTGAAATTGATGCAACTTGGTGCACACGCAAAATGACGCAAATGACGTCAGATGCGAATGCAAAAGTGCATGTCAAATAAGCCGTGCACCAATTTTCAATCACGAATGACGTCATTTGCGTGTACGCAAAGTTGCATCAATTTCAAAAAAAGGCCCCCAGACCTATGATTTATAATTTTCTGTTATTTTAACAGCAACGTTAAGTTATCTGTCACTTATTCCACACGTAAAAATAGAGACAGGTATAGACTTTGAGCTATAACACAACTAAAAATAACAGGAGAGGATACATCATAATACTGTATTCCTTTTATACATTGAGTTACACTGAACCTGTCGCTCTAGAGCTCCTCGGAGTAACTCCAAAACACACAATTCGGATGTTATCATTATTATTTAATATTAACTAACATTACCTAAAAGGGCTTCTTGCACCCCGGTAAATTTGATGAATGAGGGAAAAGGGGGATGCAACAGGTAAGTATCCTGTACTATGGTTGAACCAAATCCAAGCGGCAGTAATGACAATGAGGAATTTGCAATTTTTTTTCTTATTCTCTTATTAAATTCTTCACATTATAAAAAGTCACTTGCCACATAAATTTTAGATTTTCAACTAATAGTTTTTCTGTAAAAAAATATAGAAATTCAAAATAATTCTCTTCGCGCCAAAACGCAGTCGTAAATCAATGACGTCACAAGACGATATCCTTCCAAGCGTCAAAATGAGTCTCTGTACTCCCTCCCTGCCTTATCCATTGTCAATTGTGTTTTATATCATTGTTTGTGCGATTTACATGTGTGGTTTATTTTGTTGTCAAGTTTCCCCTCATTTTTATTTTAATCGGTGGCTTCACCAATGAGTTAGCTATCTTTGTTTAGTGAATGTAAAATGATAATGACCGACATACAATAGTGGATCCATCGGTAGAATTCGATGTAAACACAAGCGTCTAACGGCTTACGTTTCACGTTAACATAACCACACTTTTGTTTGTTTATCGTTCGATGTCGTCATAACCAATTTTAGAGCATTTTCGCGCCCATTGTTATTGAATACTTGAAGTAATCCAGACTTTCTATTGGTTGAGACGCCCTACCAGTGTGCATGCACGGAGAACATTTGATAGGTTGTAATTAAAATGACCAGTTATGCCATTACTGCCGCTTGGATTTGGTTCAACTATAGACTCTAAACTGGAACAAGATTATGCATGACGAGACTCCGAGACATTTGCGAGACTCTCGTACGAGACGCGAGACGAGACGAGACTTAAGGCTGCGAGACGAGACAAGACTTTTTATTTATCGGCGAGACGAGACAAGACTTTATGAAAGTCTCGTCTTGTTGGTCTCGTGGGAATCACTACTTTACGTAACTACAAGATTTATAATGCAGAATGTTTGGTGGTAAATCTTGATAGATAAAGGGTAGTTAAAGAGTGTTAATCATCATATTCATCATCATCATTCTTTATTTTCTTAAATCCATTGTTGGACATTATCTTAATGTTAATTGTCATCTGGTACTTTCTCCAGTTCTTCTTCTTGATACTTAGAAGCATCTTCTTGGTGCAACTTCTGTCTCAGTAACTTGCAAACTTCCACTTGGGTTTTGCAATGCATTATATTATGTCATCTACACCTATTCTTCTACATTGCTTACCTAGTTTTTCAACGTTATACCAGCATTGAACATCTCATCTTAATTCTCTTCCTCATTTTGCCATATGCTGCTCAATTAAGAATTATTATTCTTCTATGCTTATATCCTTCTTCTTCTTCTTCTTCTTCGTCAGCCCGTGTCCATCCATTGTCGGATATAGGCCTCTTCCAAGTTTTACCATGTCCCGCGATCTCTTGCTAATCTCAACCATTGACGCCCTGCCACCGTTCTGAAAGCTGTTCCTCTTGATGTCCAGAGTGCCGTTTTCTGGGTCCATCTATCTGGGTCCTGTCTTGCCACATGTCTGATCCATTGCCACTTCTGGCTTGCTACCCTTTGCACAACATCCGCCACTTTGGTTCCATCACGTATCTGTTCATTTCGTATTTTATCCCTTTAAGTGATTCCCATGGGTCTCTGTGCGACTCTCAGTTGCTCAGCTACTACCTATTAATGTTTAAAAATAAAGTTCATATTTTCGAATGCCACCCATACCAAATGGATCCTTCGTTCAATTTCCGCCGTTTGGTTTTCTATGCCCAGCTTGATTTTATGTCCTAAGTATATGTAATGTTCTACATTTTCCATGATAACGTTAACTATGGTGATGTTACATTCATTTTTGCTCATTATTTTGATCTTGTTTTGATTCATTTTTAGGCCTATTTTCTTGGATTATTCGTGTAACTCATTGAGCATGTTGTTCAGTTCTTGAATGTTGGTATTTATTAAGACTATATCATCTGCAAATCTGAGGTGATTGAGGTATACTCCATCGATGTTTAGACCCTTGTTTTCCCATTCCAGCTTCCTAAAAACATTTTCCAGGGCTAGGGTAAATAGCTTGAGAGAGATGGTCAGTGGGATGTCGTACTCCTTCGCCAAGTGATATTTTGTCTGTTTTAAGATCGTGTCGTCTATTTGCACGTGAAAGGTTACCTTATCATAGATATTCTTAATAAGGGTAGAGTATTCCGAATCGATTCTTGTCTGCTAGTCCACAAACGCCAGATGTAGGGGTATGTTATATTCCGTTGTTTTCTCGATGACTGCTTTATTTGTTTGCAGATGGTCTATAGTGGTAAAGCCCCTTCGAAAGTCTGCTTGTTTTACCGATTGGTAGGATTCTAGCTCTATCAGATATTTGTTTAACAGCATTAATTCCTATAGTCTCTGTTAGTGTTTTTCCATTCATCTTTAGAATTTCCGGTGTTATTCGATCTTCTCTCAGACTCTTGCCGTTTTTCATCTGTTGGAGTGCGTATTTAATTTCTGATGGTGATATTTCCGGCATATCTTCTGAGTCTACATTTGTAATGTGTTTAGGTGGTCCATTTGGACTTGGTATAGTTGTTTGGTAGAGATGTTCGTAGAATATTTGTATTTCCCTTCTAATTTCCTGTTGGTCCTCTGATAAGGATTCCTTGATTGTTTTATATTTTTACAATTTTGTATTTTCCCCTCTCTTAGAACTCTCATGCCTTTATTTTTCTCGATAGTTTCCAGAATTTTGTTTGTTTTGTTTTCTCTTAGGTTTTTCCTTATTTTTTTTTCGTTGTCTTATTTAGGGTATTATATGCTTATATGCAATTGGCAAAGGACCCTGCAGAAAGCTTATGAGAACTGGCCCCTTAGATGGATGAACAACGAGCGATTTTGAAAAGAAAATTTCCATAAATAAAGTAGAGTATACTACTCGCAATAATGGCTATTATTTCCTCGGAATGTTACTCCCTCGCCGCTTACGCGGCTCAGTTCGTAAATATTCCTCGGGAATAATAGCTATCATTATTGACTCGTGGTATAATCTACTACTAAATTATACGATTCCATAAATGGCCACTTTCAAACCATAGGCATTTTAAAAGAGGTTAAAAATATTAGTTATTTATACACCAAGTGAGTTAAATGAATGTTTACTCATGAGAAGAAAGTTTAACTTACGGGCCCCACAAAAAAATAAATGGATAAACAATCATACGGTTTCATTGGCAAAATTTGTGCGAAAATTTGGGGTCAATATTCTATGAACAGTTGTGCAACGGAACAGCCTAACGCCTGCGCAGTGTCGTATCTTTCGAACAACTGTTCTAAATTTTGAAATTCCTTCATTTTCATTGGCCAGATTTTGTACACGCACAGTACATGTATCCACTGCGCACGCTCACAGCTGTCCCAGTCAGTTGTTTTTGTTTGCATTATGACCTCGTAAATTAGCAGCATTAGAAGCGTTCTTTGTTTATCCATTTATTTTTGAGATCAGTGACGAGCCCTAGTGAGTGGGTTGATTTTTTTCGAATGGTGCATACAATGCTTCATTTTCTACTGAATATAATGTTCCGTCATCAATTTAGTTTCAACCATGTACAGTGGAAATCATTGCAATTGGCACACACTATGTAAATATCCCTCGTAATGTGTCAAATCTGACACACAGTAATAGCAAAATGCTGCACTAAATAGATTTATTGGTTAGAATTTTGACTTAATACGAGGGATTTTAAAGAGTGTGTGCCAATTGCAATGATTCCGACTGTACCTTTACTACCTGTACTCTCCTCATTATTTATCCATAATTATTTTTAACCCCTCTTAGAACGTCTATGGTTTAAAAATCGCCATTTCTGAAATCGAATAATTTGAAACGTATTATACTATGCATATGTCGTTCTAAAATTCATGAAGTAACTGAAAGAACTAGCCTGTATAAGGTTTGAGCAATTTCACATATGAAGCAACTTCAAACGACTGTAACTCAAAAAAGCGAATTTTTAGAACTTTGTGCCCATGGACACTTTTAATCTATAGGTCAAGAACTATCAATATGCAAAATTTCATGAGATTCTACTGAGGGCCAGTTCTTATAAGGTTTCTGCGGGGTCCTTTGGTTCTGTTTCTTGCTGCATCATATTACCCATGTCCTCAAGTATCTTGACCATTTCTACTTTTTTTTTTTATGTGCAGTTCATCCTTGACCCTACTTTTTTTTGCTGTAAAGTGCAAGCATATCCGTTGCCTCCTCAAGGAATTAAGAAAAAGGAAGAAAAAAATTGTACAGTGGAAATCATTGCAATTGGCACATACTATACTCTTTCAACATCCCTCGTATTAAGTCAAAATTCTAACCAATAAATCTATGTAGTGCAGCTGTGTATAAATATTTTGCGGCCTAAAGCCTAGTACTCATAACAGCGAAATCTGCTCTTTTTTGACATTGCTTCGACAATTTGACGTTTTATGCGTGAATCAAACGTCAAATTGTCGAAGCAATGTCAAAAAAGAGCGAATTTCGCGGTTATGAGTACTAGGCTTAAGCCTAGTACTCATAACTGCGAAAATTTGACGTTTCATGCGTGTATCAAACGTCAAATTGTCGAAGCAATGTCAAAAAAATGCGAATTTCGCAGTTATGAGTACTAGGCTTTAAGGTGGTAGTAGATTTTCATATCGATGATGTCGAAATAGTAGATCACTGTAAATTTGGGGAGTGAATTAATCCACGCCGATTGGAGCCGCCAGTAATGGCGGGTATTATGAAACTATATTTTGATAAATAAACTAAAAGTGAACTTCTGGAATGACGTCACATCTCAAGTCATTCCAGAAGTTAACATTTGTCAAAATAATTCTATAATACCTGTCCTTAGGACCTTAGTATTTATATTATCACCCAACGAGATGTCTACACATCAGTGTCTCGAGTACAAGCAGACTCGCTCATTTTTTTTTTAACTCTTTCAATAATAATTCAATGAATCAAAATAAATAGTAAACAAATAAATAAATAAATCCTCTTAAGTCGATATTTACGACAACAATCCGTAATCTTTTCACATTGCTACTACCGTATGGGATTAAAGTCATAAAATACACTTATCTTACTCACTAAGATCCGTATTTATTAATTTTTGTTCAAAGCTCATCCCGTGAGAAAAAAAAGAAACAAAAATCCAAATTTCTTGCGCCCCATAAATTTTTCGTAAAAGAATCAACCTGACCCGAAGGTTTTCGAGATCTCAAGAAAAAGTCTTTGTTGGTGTCTGAAATGAACAGCCCAATTGTGTTTAAGTACTCTGTGTAGTTAATAAGCCGTAAAATTGTCGACATTGGAAGTAAATATCCGTGAAAAGTTTTTAGTACCTGCGCCACCTTGTTGATTCTTCAGAAAACTTTTGTTGACAATTTTTTTTTTTTTTTCAGGTAAAAATCTGGTTTCAAAACCGCAGAGCAAAAGCGAAAAGACTGCAAGAAGCCGAACTGGAAAAGCTCAGATTGTCGGCCAGACCTCTACTTCCTCCAACTTTTGGACTGTTCCCGGGAGGTTCTCACTTGATATCGCCATTTTTGACAGCGATGGCCCACAGGCCGCCTCATTTTGCTTTTGGACCGGGAGCAATGTTAAATATTCCTCAGTGAGAGTTAAAATTGTTGATTGTGTAAATATATTATCAGTGATGCATATTGTGTAGATAAATGTAAATAAAAATTATACTCTCTATAACAAAATTGAGAATATGTCTCCAATTATTATTAATTTTAATACAATGATTATTTTTCAAAACATATCCTCAACTTTGATATTGTAGTTTATGTATATTATTGTATAAAAATATATATTATTTTATTATTATTTCTCTGAGACGTTTATATATGAGGAGTGCAATAAAAATTAAAAAGCAATGGTATATTTTAGTTTAAATGATTCTTTACTACATGATAATATACTGTTTTGAAAGACTGATTAGCACTTGACTTATTTTTATTATTTATTTTTGAACATAATACAGGTTTAAGTTTGTTTTCATTTATATTTTTTTTTGTATTGTGTTGATTATTGGATGAAACTTTGGGATCCCATGTTAGTTGCTTGACTCTCTTCAACTGATTATTGGTCAACATAAAATGAGTTATATTGATCCTTGACAAAAAATTAACATGGGATTTCAAACGTCTCATTCAATTATGCAACATTCGGTATAGGAAGATTATTGTTGTAAATTATTGTAAAATAATTAAAAATAAATCATAGTTGTTTTTATTAGAACATCTCGTTTTTGATTTTTTATTCATACAAAACATAATAATAATAAAAACTGGAAAGTTGTCATTTATACCTCTAATCAACTTAATCAAGGACTGAATTGTGTTCAGAGCACCGGCATTAGGGTAGGTGCACAACGGATCTGTGATACGTACCTATTGCCTGGATGATAGATGGAAGCTATCATAAATGCTTAGAATTATTTCATTAGTTTAAATGTGAGCGTGCACATCAAAGCAGTGAGTATAGCTGGGATGATCGCTTATAGCATACTAGAATGAATTTTACCATTATTTCTGCTAGCAGAAACCAGCTGACAAGGGTGGCGCATGCCCATGCCCATTCATCGTCTTGTCGTTGATTTCACCTAAAATGTATTGGAGAGTAGATGAAAATGATCATCAGCATCAAGCTATCCCTTCAACTCCTGATAGAAGTGGTGATAATCTCCCATTTCTGACCGTTTTTTATTAATTGGGTGGGTTTATGGTATTCTCTTGAGGGTAAATGCCACAGAACAAACCAATTTGTAGCGGACGAACATACATAATCGTAATCACTGTATCACTGTTCGACATCGCGATCAGAAATGCGAGATGAAATTGTTTAAAAGCTAGAAATAAATCCACGATGGTATCACAGCTCCGTTGTGCACACCTATAAGCGCTTATAATTTCAGTTATGATCAAATTATGAGCGCTTATAGGTGTGCACAACGGATCTGTGATACTAACCTGGATTTATACAATTTTATCTCGCATTTTCTGATCGCGATGTCGGACAATGATGACGATTATTTATGTTCTGCGGCATTTACACCCAAGAGAATACCATACTCACCCAATTAATCAAAAACTGTTAGAAATGGGAGATTATCAATTAATCACCACATATGGGAATGTGAAGGGATAACCTGATGCTAATGATCGTTTTTATCAATATGTGAGAATGGAACCATCTATACTTTTCAATACATTTTAAGTAAAACTGAAGACAAGTCGATGACTGGGCATGCGCCACCCTTGTCAGCTGGTTTCTGCTCACAGAAAGAATTGTGAAATTCATTCTAGTATGCTATAAGCGATCATCCCAGCTTCACGGTACGTGCACAACGCAGCTGTGATACATACTTATCGCCTGGATGATCGATGAAAGCTATCATCGATGGTTAGAATTATATAATTATTGGTTTAAATGTGGGCGTACACATTGGAGCAGTGAGTATAGCCACAGATATAGCTGCGATGATGCCTTATAGCATACTAGAATGAATTTTACCATTCTTTCTGCGAGCAGAAATTAGCTCTTGAGGTTAAATTTCGCAGAACATTCCACTTTGTAGCGAACGAACATAAATGACCGTCATCTCCTGTCCGATGTCACCATAAGAAATGCGAGATGACATTGTTCAAAAGCTACAAATCCACATTAGTATCACAGCTCGGTTGTGCACACCTATAAGCGCTCATAATTTCAGCTATGATCTGTCATAGGGGCTACAATTTTGTATCACAGCTCCATTGTGCACGTACCCATACTCACTGCTCTGATGTGCATGCTCGCACATTTAAACCCAATGAGATAATTCTAACCATCGATGATAGCTTCCATCTATCATCCAGACTATAGGTACGTATCACAGCTCCGTTGTGCACGTACCCTTAGGCTGCCAGAACTATACTGGCAAAGTAAATAACATTGTCTATGAGTTAATAATGGAAATTCGACGTTTGATCATTTTTCCAAGGAGAACTGTGTCCATATTATAAGTTAGAAAGGAATTGACCCTAGCGCATAAATTAAATATCATACTACAAATAATCACGCAACACAATTTTAATTTAAACTATTTGAAAAAAAAAAAAAAGACAACGAAATTGCCAGTTCTTTGTCACGATTCCGTGAAACTCATTGTTATTCAAATTGCAATGTTCATGTACATCTAATAAGTCTATAAACTAGGATTAAATATCGCCCCATTGTAGTCATAGATCGAGAAGCATTTTCAAAAACCTTCTAACACCAAAACTACTCTAAATAATTCCCAAGTGCGATAAAGCTAATTAATTAAATTCTCAGAAACTGTTTTCTTTATTTCTATTCCCGATTAAAACAATGGCCACTTGCCTTTTAAGCTTGCGCTACAATCCTTCGTCTCCCTTCTGTTCAATGAGAGATTCAAATGCCAGCAAAGGACAGAATGATGAAGGTATTGGAAAGAGAGAAAAAAAAGGAAAACAAACGTCGAAGTATTCTTAGAAATAATTTCACAAATTGCAGGTGACTTCTTTAATTTATTTAAAGCTGTGGTCGTTATCTGAGACACACCCAATTCTTTCGGCTTTTAGTATCCTTTTCTGCTAATGGATCACGTCGGTCTGAGAAGTGATCTGAATTAGTTAGTCAGGGGACATAGGCTGACACACTTCATTATCTTAATTAAGGGTTTGCAATAGTGTGCTGTAATTAAAACTGATGAGATCAGTTATTTTTTGTCATACACTTCTTTCCCGTCCCGATAGGTTCTAATGTCTTTTTGAAGCTTTGAGTAAATTTTATTCGATTGATTGCTGAGCTAGAGTAGCTATAAAATGTGAACTCAAAAAATTCGATGGTCAGACTTTAAGAGGGATTTTTATGTACTTATTTCCTGTTCCATGATTTCTGCTCGAATTATCAAACCGTCAGAAATGCTAAAATTTTAAAATTTATTATTTCTGTTGAGAAGTTGAGATGCCAAACTCCAATCCTGTTGGTTTTTGTGCTGGCTTTAGTCCGGAGAGTTGAAAGATATGTCAATATAGTAGTTTGAGGTTTGAAGGCCTCAACTCCAGCAAAATTAAACCAAAGCTTCACGCTTCTATTTTCTAACTTGGCGAAAAGTAATAATTTGTGGGACTGTCAGTATGAACATGATTTTTTTCACAGTAGAATGCTCCACTGTTGATTGCCCAAAATATAATATTTTGAAAGACATTTGAGTATGTATGCCACCTCGAGCAACATTCGAGTTTCGTCAATGAAATATGTCTGTAATACAAGTAATTTACTTATTTTACTTAATTATGAAAATCTTAAAGATTCTGCAGATCTATTTTAAAGCCGAAAATTACACCAGATACCGTACTAATTGGGCTTGGCTCCCGGACGCTAAACGGCCGTATGTAATTATTATTCAATATACAACATGGCTTTTAATTGGTTGTTATCTCTGCTTTGGTTGTTCGTCTCCGTTGGTCGAGTTCTTGCTCTTCGTCCCAGTAGCTCCAGTTTTTGCCACGGCGTTGCCCGTTTCATAATGGCAAACAATTAATTACTCGAATAGATTTTAATTGCCGCAATTTTAAAGCAAATTAACGTTTGCGATTTCAAAAAGTGTTTTGCTCCCGATATGATGTTGCCACGTAAAAATAGTCAGTTGCCGGTTAAGCGGATTAAATTAGTCCTTGTTTTTGTTGAAGTGTCGACGCGAATAACTACGAGTTGTAATTTTATGAAAATTGATGTAGCTCGTTTAGTTTTTAAACATTGAATTTATTTATTAATACAACCTCAATTCACTTCATGAAATTATTATTTGTGTTAACTAATTTAGTCTCACATTCTTCAATAAAATTACTTCACGCGCTGAGTAACACTTCGAGTTTTCGGTGGATGGATCCAGAAGAAATCCTGGCGGTGCGAGATTGGCCAATTCAGTTTGTGATGTTGTTCTCTCCGATCAAATTCGAAATAGCAGAAAAGTAGGAAAGTTGCAAGAATCCAGACTTCCAAATAGACGAAGTCATCCTGATGCCTACTGACTTACCACGAAGATCGTGTGTTGACAACCCTTGCGAATTTTGCCAAAAGCACGAAACTGAACTTTACCAAAGGAGACTTTGAGAAAAAACAAAATGCTGAAGAGAAATATCACGTGGCTGGCAATGATAACAACACAATAACAACAACTACAACAACAGCACAACAACATCATTAACGTCCATAATCTAAGCATGACTAGTTAACAATAGTATCAATCGATCTAATAATTAATCGTCATGATACATGAGACAAGAGCAAATTAATCAGGGAGTCTAGCTAAGAGAAGCCTAATACATTCAAACCGTTTTGCACAGTAGACGGTGTGGTAGTCAATAGGACGCTGACTTTAGGTAGAGATCGGTACTGCTAAATTATTCAATCGCAAAATCGAATGAAACACTCCACCTCAATTGCAGATGAGATAACAGCTCCTGTTCCCATACGACTGAGCTGAGAAATGAGTACCTGACGGTTGCTGGACTAGAAAAGAGGACAGCTTCATTGAATTTCAGTTCAACTTTCCATTGTAGTATCGTCAAAGGAAAAATCAGATCTCGATTCCACGATGGAGTACTGCCACACATTGGTTCTTACATGGACAACGTTGTATTCAGACCTAGAACTATAAGGAAAATTCTTCTGCAACTTCTGGGAAATATTGGCGTCCCAACAGCGTTCCACCAATCACTGTTTTCACTCTCTTATAGTCGAGGCGTTTTCCCGTTTATCTGGAAATGTGCCAGAGTGCAGCCCATCCCGAAAAAGAGCAAGAGAACTCTTTCTAGCAATTATCGTCCTTTCTAACTTATATCTGTACTTTTTAAAGTAATGGAAAAGGCATTCAACCTGAAACTGGTCAAATACCCCGAAGCCCTCGAAGCTCGTCTATAACAAACAGTAACGGTTTCTTTCTAAAAGATCAACAGAGGGTCGGCTAACGTACGTCAATCATATTTGGAACTCGACTCTCGAAAAACATGGAAAATCCAGAATTGTAGCATTGAACATCTCCAAGGCTTTTGATCAAGAGTGACACAAAGGTCTGCTCAGCAAACTTTCATCGTATGGTCTTCCAAATGAATTTTGCCATTGGCTGGGGAGCTTTTTGACAGATCACTGCATGGT